TTGTGTTAAGATTAAATTTCTCTGTGATTTGGTGTAAGTACACAATTGTGTGTGGGGTTAGAAGGACAGGAAGAGAGTTTTAGATAGTATTGAGTTGCTAGTTTCTCCATTCTTAGTTGTAATGGGGGTTCATTTGCCACTACATGTAGACTCTCTATAGGTGAGGTGGGATAGGCTCCTAGAGCTATCCGAAGGCCTTCATGGTGTATTGTGTTTATTGTTTTTAGATAAGACTTTCTAGTTGATTGGTAGACCATGCTGCCATAGTCCAGTTTGGAGCGAATCAACGTTCTATAAAGTTTAAGAAGGGTTTCTTTGCTAGCTCCCCATTCTGTGTGGGCTACTGTTCGCAGTAGTTGGAGAGCTTTAAAACATTTTGTTTTTAGGTAATTGATATGTGGTCTAAAGGTCAGTTTGCTGTCAAAGATCATTCCTAGAAATTTATATTGCTGAACTAATGGTATTTCTTCATTTCCTAGTTTTAGAGTTGGGTTATTGTGTAATTTTTTCAGTTGGCAGAAGTGTACAGATTTTGTTTTTGTTTTTGATATTTTAAAACCGTTTTCGAGTGTCCATTTGTTTATTTGATGTAAGCATTGTTGAAGTTGTCTCTCTGCTGTGTTGAGGTTTCTCGATCTGTAATGTATTGTAAAATCATCAACATAAAGGCTACAGTGTATTCCTGATTTGATGTTTTTTATTATGTCATTTATTTTTATTTTGAAAAGTGTAGGGAGAGTACACTTCCTGTGGTACTCCCTCTTCTTGCTTTTTGATAATCAGAACGTGTAGCATCTATTTGTACTTGGAAGAGTCTATCTGTTAAAAATCCTTTTACTAAGTTTGGTAGTCGACCTCTTAGTCCTAGTTTATGCAGATCTTTCATTATACCATGTTTCCAGGTTTGATCAAATGCTTTTTCTATATCAAAGAATATGGCTATTAGATGTTGTTTGTCTAAATTGGCCTCTCTTATGGCTGTTTCTAGTCTTATTAAATGATCTATTGTACTTCTTCCTTTATTATATCCACATTGATATTTTGATATGTGTTTTCCTTCTAGAAACCAACTCAATCTGGCATTGACTATTCGCTCCATTGTCTTACATAGACAGCTTGTTAATGCTATTGTAACTTTGTGAATTGTTTCCCTCTTTTCCTTCTTTGAGTATGGGAATAATTATCGATTCTCTCCATATTTTGGGAAATTTCCCAGTTGTCCAAATATTGTTAAAAATATTCAAAAGGTATTTCAGCGATTCTTGTGGTAGTTGTTTAATAAATTCATAGTGGATTTGGTCTGGGCCTACTGCTGTATTGTGGGATTTTTTTATGGCTTCTATTAGTTCTGCTTCGGTGAATTGATTGTTGTAGGCTTCTGTATTTTTAAATTAAAAATTTAGTTGGTTATTTATATATCTTTTTGTAAACACTTTTGTAGGTTTTGATTTTTGCTCATTTTAGAGTTTTCTGCAAATGTCTCTGCTAGTAGGTTTGCTATCTTTTTTGCTGGTTGCTTTAGTGTTGTTCTTTTTAAGGTGTATTATTGGGGATATTTGATTTTTTCCAGCTATTTTTCTCATCATTTCCCATATTGTTTTGGTTTTTGGAATGTGTATTTAGGCTGTTTACATATTTTTCCAACATTCCCTTTTGGCTTCTTTAACAGTTTTCCGTGCTACTGCTTTGAGTTTTTTCATTTCAATCAAATTTTGGGTTGTGGGTTCCTTTTTAAATTTTAAGCAATGCTGCTTCCCGGTTTCTGACTGGTTTTGGCAGTTTTTGTCAAACCAGGGTATAGTTTTTTATAATTATTTTGCTTTTTTGGTATATTTTCTGAGGCAATGGTTATTAATGTTTTGGTAAAGTATTCTATCGAGTTGTCTGTGTCCTTTGACTGTATCAGTAATTGTTTACATTTGTTTTTGAAACCCTCCCAGTTGGCTCTTTTCAGTTTCCATCTGACGGGGCCTATCTTTTCTTCCTTGGCAGGCTTTTGATTTTCTAGAATGATTGGGTAATGATCACTGCCACATGTGTCGCTATGTGTTTTCCATGTATAGTCCATACAAATTTCTGGATCACATATACTTAAGTCTATTGACGATTCTGTTCCACTGGAGGGATTAAGGTAGGTTGAGGATTTATGATTTAATAGACATAAGTTATGGATGTTAATTATTTCTTCTAATATTTTACCTTTAGTATCTAGCTTTTTGCTATTCCATATAGGATTATGACTGTTAAAGTCTCCTAGTAAGATTCTGGGTTTAGGAAGTTGCTCCATCAAGTTGTTTATTTCTGTTGTATTTATTGGTTTCTGTGGAGGTATATAAATGGAAAGAATTGTGATGGTTTTATCTAGTGTCACTTGTGTTGCTATTGCTTGTAATTTAGTTTTAATGTGTACTTTACTTTGCGGTATGTCATTTCTAATCAATATTGACATTCCTCCATTAGCTCTATGTCCTGTATTGTGGTTATAGTGATATTGTTTATAATTTTTAATTTTTAACTTGGCATTTTCTTGTAAAAAAGTTTCCTGTAAGCAGATGACGGCTGGATACAGTAGTGACATAAGTATGAGTAGGTCATTGTAATTAGATTTTATTCCACGACAGTTCCATTGCAGGATCTTATGTGCCATGGTTATATTTTCATTTTTGGGGGGTAAAGTTACCTACTAGGTTTATATCATTTGTCCTCTCCAGTTTTTTTTCTATCTCTTGAGTTTTTAGAAGCTTTGTCTTCAACTGCTTGTGGTGTCCTTCGGTCAGATTTTGGGTTTTGTTTTGAATTTTGTTTATTTTCTTCCTCTTCTATTTCCATATATTCCATAGGCTCAAATTTATTTTCATTTGATATATTGATTCTTGATTTTGAGTTAGATCTTGATCGAGTGCTTTCTTGCTCTGTTGTCACTTTTTTGTCTTTTTGTTTATTTTTTATTTTCTTAGTTTGGGTTTGGGAAGAAGAGGGTTCGCTGGAGTTTTGTTCTATGTTTTTGCCTTCTTCTGAGTTAATTTCATTTGATTTGGGTTGTTGAGTTTTATTTTGATCTGATTTAAGTTCGATTAAAAAGGTTTTTAATTCTTCAAGGAAAGCTTTTAATTCCTTGCATAAATTTGTTATTTCAATTGAACCTTTTATTTTATCTTCATTGTTTATTTTATTTGCTTTTTGTGCCATGGAAGCATAGGTGTTTTCTTTTATGTTATTTTCAACTTCCTTTCGTGCTTCTGAGAAAGATATATTTTTTTTGCATTTTATTCTGATTATTTCTTTTTCCTGTTTATATATACTACATTGTTTTGAGAGGGCAGAATGGTTTCCCAAACAGTTTGAGCATAGGCTCTCTTTTGGACAGTTCTCTTCTTTATGTTCTGGTTCTTTCTCACTACATTTTCCACATATTTGTTTTTTTTATTTCTACAGGAATCTCCGTGATGCCCAAATTTGTGGCATCTATAGCATTGAAGAGGGTTTGGTACGTATTGTTCTACTTTTATACTTTCATATCCAATTTTAATTGTTGTTGGAATTTGGGGGGGGGGGGAGTTGAAAGTTATAATGTAGGTATTAGTTTGTATCTCTGCTTCCTTTTTCTTTATTGTTATTCTTTTGACATTTGTAACTCCTTGAGTTTGGAGTTCTATTTTTATCTCCTCTAGAGTGCACAGGGAGAGCTCCTTGCTTTTTACTTGCTTTGAGAAATTTAGGGTTTGGTGTGGGTAGGATTTTATTTCTATTTCTTGTAGTTTTTTTTGTCTTATTAATGTGTCCGCATATATCTTTTTTCCACTTCCACTAATGTTCCATTTTGTAATTTTTTTACATTTTTTGGTATAATGATATTTGATATTGCTTTTTGTATTTTAAATGGAGATATTTCTGTTAGTGCTTTTTGATTTATTGCTTCGAGTACAATAAATCGTGGAAAGTTTTCACTATTTTCTGTTTCCGAGTCGTTATCCACATGTGGTCTCTTGGAAGATTTCTTTTTTTCCATTGATTGTTTTTATTTTGGTTCATCATTCTCGCTCCCTACCCACCGTGGAGTCCAGTATTGGGACATGACAAGGGGGAAACCTATTCGCCTTGCCATGTCGGGGCTACGTGAATGATATACTCTCTTTGGGAGGAGTCTTTGAGCACGTGTGTTCCTTTTGTTTCCGTTATCCAAGTATTACGGCTGTGAAGGTTTAGCAGGTGTGTCAGATCCTTTTTTTCTCCCAAATTGATTGACCCTCAGCCACCGCCTTCCATCACATATTTAGGGTTAAGTCTTAGTTTTGGTTGGGAAGAGGAGTGTCAGTTACAGGTTTGGGATGGATTATATATGATGGGGCTTGACATGACCAGCCGATTGATCGGATCGGGCCCCTCCGACCACCCGTCTAGCCCAGGTAAAGGCCAAAGTGGTGTGTTACAGGATTGTGACTGCTTTACACCTGGGTTACGACCTGCTCAACCACCAGGATCCCATCCCCAGACATTACGGGTTGCTACCCACGGCCAACAGGTGGCCCCATTGAGGGACTTTTATCCTCTGCAGGGGGGCAGTTGGCATATTCTGATGCCCCACCGACCGGGCAGACTGTGTAGAGGTTGCTTTAAACTTCTGAACTGTAGTGTAGTTGAATAGAAATTTTAATGCTTGTTACACAGGTTTATCAACTAATAATTCACCAAACCTACAAACCTGTTATTAGCTTAAGGAAGATAACCAAGAAAAAATAAAAAGATTATTATATATATATATATATATATATATATATATATATATATATATATGTGTGTGTGTGTGTGTGTGTGTGTATATATAAAATTAAAAAAACGAAAATTAAAAAAGGAAAAAAAAAAAAAGGGAAAAGAAAAAAAAAGGGAAAAGAAAAAAAAAAAGGGAAAAGAAAAAAAAAAAGGGAAAAGAAAAAAAAGCTTCATTTTGAATTAGTGGATTAAAAAAAATTAAAAGTAAAAAAGATAATTCAATTACTCACATTAACTGCATTTGCCATTTGGTAGAAAAGCAATTTTGCATTTTCTTCTTTGAGTTGTCCAGTTGAAATTACTCTATCAAAGAGTTCACCACCTTCAATGCTAGAAAGAGACAAAAATTAACTCAATATAAAAGTTCACTGCATTTTTGGGTAAAATGTGTTGTGTTGCAGCTCAGTCCAAACACCAGGTTCATTGATAGGGTGTGGTTTATGGTAGTCAAACACTTGTGACTTAAAAATTACCCTTTGGACAGATCATTACCCATAAGTGAAGAACAAAACAATTTCTAGAAGTAAACCAGATTTTATTCTTAGGTAGAAAGTTACTGCTATAAGCAAGTGAAGGCAGGGTTGAGGTGTAAGTGAGAGGGGACGCGTGCAGTTCAGCCGCCATTGTCCACCTTTCTGCATGGTGTGTATCTTCCGTTATCTTTACCTTTGTGCAGGATGGTCAGTTTTATAGACAACAGTTTTCTTTGTCCTGTCATCTTCATCTAAAAAAGTAATTAATCTGCCTTCCATCACTTAAGCTAGGTCTTGCAGAGGGTTATTGATTGGGCCTACATCACAATAGGTAGAGAAGAGAAGGTGTGATAGGCAATAATAAACTACAGAAGAACTGAAAATTGATCATTGCATTTAAGTACTGAATTAATATTTAAGCTTACCTTTTAAAAGTTCAATGATAATTCTTCTGCCCCCACTTAATTTAAAGACAATTTCATGTATGTAGGTCCTTACTTTCTGTGCAAACAATTATTTTTATTTCATGGGTGACTTTCACTGGATTTCGCATATTAATTTCAATTATTCTCAAATTTATTTCCAAGTTATAAAAATTGTTATCATACAAAAAAAAAAAAAAAAAAAAAAAAAAAAAAACAATCACGGTAATGAAAACTTGGAAATCCCCAATTTCAGGACTGTGGGTCCAGATCCGGCCCAGAATATTTTTAATTTGCTAAAAGAGTTGGCCTGATTCCATATATATATATATATATATATATATATATATATATATATATACGTGTGTATGTATTTAGGCAGCCATCCCTAATTTATACATGTTTCATTAAAAACGACAGACGAGGTACTGCGATTAAGCTTTTTATTTAATTTTTCTTGTGTTCGAACAAGTGTTTTCTTTTCTGTACACAGAGTGTGTAGAAACTGTCCAAATGGCCTGTAATTCTGAGTGCTTTTGGCTATACTTTTAGCCATTATCAAGGATGATCTTATTTTTACTTAACTGGATATATGGGTTGTGTGTATGTATCTAGAGCCATAGGGATATTTTATTTTCCGAACACAGTCAGCACGTTGTGGCCATGTTCGTAGATAATATTATTGAGTGTTGTCTTTTTTCTTTTTTCTTTTTTCTTATTAAGGCTTCAATTATTTTTAATCTCTTTTTTTTCAAACATGTGGATGAGGTTATTATGTTTGTATTTTTTACTCGTATGTTTTGGATGGAGTCTGGTAGGTTTGTGTGTGTGGGTGTGTGTTTAAATGGTTTCTAATAGGGCTGTGGTCAGATAGGTGTACTGTAATTGTCTGGATAGGCATGTAGTAGTGTGACTGATGTAATTATTTATGAGTTCAATTTGATCCCGAACACCTTTCCTTAAGGGTCATTTGATGTTCATTCTTTGTAGTTTTGATTTTGCAGGTGTGTTGTTATTTTTGAGGATAAGGTTAGCTGTTTGAAATTTTTTGTAGTAGATAATTAATTTTTTTGTTCAGGTTGACTGGGGTAGTGTTTTTCTTTTTATATATATATATATATATATATATATATATAATCATTTCTATGATTTTAAAATGAAACTGAAAACTACCATTAATTTATCAAGAACAATCCATAAGGATGTTCTGTCTTCTGACCAGATTAGTTCAATTGTTTACAATTTTAAATGCCAGTGTCATAATAACTATATAGGAAGGACCAGTCAGAGATTGGAAGTTGGAATAGGTCAGCATGTCCAAAATTTGAAAAGAGCAATGTGATAATTTGAATAAGGAAATCAATACATCCGGGCCTGCGATAGCAGAACATCTGTCAAATAACACCAAAGACAGGATCAGCAGAGGCAACAATAAACATTCAAGTGTTAATCACTAATTTTTTTTTTTTTTTTTTAAGTATTTTCAAAGCCTGTAACTATGTCTGCTAAATGCTCAAGTGCATCTCATGTCTGTGGTGAAAAGTGAGGCAGGGGGGATAGCAGATGAGCTGAGTTTACACTAAGAGCATTTTTTTTACTTCAGATATGCCTGCTTTACAAAACGGCCGTTATAAGCAAAGGAACATCTAAATTGATCAGGTTTGGTGAGTAAAGTGGTTGAATCTTTCCCACTTGCCAGAGCCAAAGCCAGGTACTCTCAACTTGTATAACTGATGCAACACATTCTTCTTTTACCCAAACCTTACTCCCACCTAATAAACAGCCAGAGAAATGAGTGAGAAATGAGTAAGAAATAAAAATTGAATTTAAATACTCACAGCTCAAGAACAATAAACAGATTCTCTGGTGTATCAATGATTTCTTCAACTCCAATGATGCAAGGCTGAAAAGACAAAAGAAAAATTTAACTCAAAAAACACATAAGGTAAATTTTAAAATTGTTTTTCATAAATCTTTTTAAATATTTCATACATTTTTCAGACTGCTATCAACATTTTTATTAGTGCTAAATTTTTTTAGCCTAAATATTATTCAGCATTTCTGTATTCATTTCTATTAGTGCCAATATTTTTAGCCTAAATATTATGCAGCATCTCTGTATTCATTTTTATTATGCCATAAATTTTTCATGAAATACCTGAAGTAAGAAACAAAATAAAAATAAGGACAATAACAAACAGTATGCTCCATCCCCAAAGACACACACACCAATTTTAACTATTTTTTTTTTTTTATTAGGCTTCACCCTATGCAAGGTAGTAAAGCCTTAAGACACAAGGGGTTACTGGGTGTGAAAGAATTAGGAGCAGAAATGAGCGGTAAGAGAAAAAAAGTAATCAGGAAGACAGCAGAAACCAATTGACATTGCATTCAAATTTTTACAGATTAAAGTTGGTTGGAAAGCATGGAGGCGAAATAAAGTTCCAAAAGTGAGAAAAGAAACCGTTAACATAGAATTAACAGCTACATTTAGCCAGCTCAACAGTAAAATGATGAGATTTCAATGTTAGTCTAGTACTGTGTTTAAATTCAAAAAGTCTTGGTATCATAGCGAAGAACTCATCCAAACAATAACCATGAAAGAATTTATAGAAAAAACACAGAGAGGCAACCATATAACGATGGGAAAGTGAGTGGAGCTAAGCAGTGAAATTAAGACTGATAATATTTCTGATTCTTCTTTGGGATTTTATCAAAGAGCTCAAAATAAATAGCAGGTGCAGTAGACCATATGTGGCAGCAATATTCTAAGCATGAATGAATGGTAGACTTATAGATATGTAAGTTCAAAAATAATCTTTCAGCTGTAGAATGCAGGGTAAATTTTTTAAATTTATTTTAAGTGGGGAGAAGCATCAAGAGTTCTCTTATTTTCCACATTTAATTTTTTTTTCAAAGGATAGTGTGGCCTTGTATCATAACACTTCATACTTACATGATTGACAGATTTTAATATCTTGGCTTCCAACATTATACGAGATGGATCAGTCTAAAAAAAATAAAAGTAATCAACAGTTCATGGAGACCAATATAAAAACAAGAATAGAAAATAAAAGGTTGCTCATAATAATGAGTTCAGGGAGAGGTGAATTCATGCCTTTTCCAAGAGCCATAGAGCAAGGTGACCATAATAATGAGAAGTTAGGTTTGCTTCGGTTAATGTCATATCAACTCCTTAAGGGTCATTTAATGCCTAAATTTAATTTTCTTGGGAGTATTGGTAATTTTTTTTTCAAAAATGTATTACTGGTAATCTTTTTGACTATGAAAATGTATTGCTGGTAATCTTTTTGACTATGAAAATGTATTGCTGGTATTCTTAATACAAAAAAAGAGGGTTCACTATTCAAATATTTTTAAATTATTATTTTATTCTTTCTCTTGCTGTTAAAATCTAAACTGCTTTAAATAACTCAATTTCAATTGAAAAATGAGAGAATTTATCGATAATCCTTATCTGTTGTAATTTGACTATATATTTTCTTAATAAGAATTTAGCATGCAGAGAGGCTCTAATAAACAATATATAAATACTTACCATCTGCACCTTATCAGTTAAAGAAAACTTCTTCTTGGGAATTATTTTTACAGCAAATTTATTACAAGTTCCTTTTGAAAATCCAAGCTTAACTTCTCCGCAGGCACCTCTGGCAAAAAAAAAAAAAAAAACAAAATGTAAAATGTCACAGAGATTCACTGATAGAAATTTTTATAACAAAATATTCTATTTTTCTTATCATTCAGATAAAAAAAAAAAAAAAAATGACAAAAGAGGATATATGAACATCTGTCTATATTTCTGAGATAAGGTATTGTAACTATTTACACGATTTACATTGTTGTCCTCATCTTTTTATTGTCATATTCACAATGTTTCAGTCTTCTTCAGGTTGGAATTTTGAATCAAACCCTGTATTTCTTCCACCATGCCTCTCCAAGTTTTTGTTTACCTTGAGTTTGGTCAGATATTGAACTTATAACTCTTTACATCAAGTCACTGGGTTACTTCAACACACGCTTTTATCCAAAGAACTAAGCCATGTGTCCTCAGGGACATCAGTGAATAAACTTTTTTGACCAGAGCTCATATTACAATTTGTTCTTATGGTTTTTTCTTTTTCTAGCACTTTGTATTACTGGTTCCCATATTGTATTCGTGTCTATGTTTGGCCATCTTAAATTTTTGTGGCCTAGCATATGTGCTGATTCCTTAAGTTTTTGTATTTTCCAGTGATGTTCTCTCTCTATTATTTCAACCTCATCACACAGGGGGCAGTGATCTCCATATATAGTCAGCCACACCTGATTTTTCTATTTCCCTTTATGTTATGGCTTTACGATGTTCTCATAGTCTTACCTTAAGGTGGGTGGCACCACCCCATTTCTCCTTTATAATTCTTGCCACAACTGAATGGGATGGCATAAAGGAGAAACAGGCCACCCCCATCCACAATCTTATTAAAGGCGCTATCAATAGCTACAGCAACATAGATATTCTCAGTGTTACTTTTTACCATGTTGCCCATTCCAGATGAGGTAGTCTGCATTCATTTTGTATTTATGATCTCAATAAAAGGCATGAATCCACCAATCCCAATCAGTCAATTCCTATGGTATTGGGAATGTGATGAACACCAGCAAATAATCTGCATTACCATTAGAAATGCAATGAAGGATCCAATGATTATGCTGCCCAACACCTTAACTACCCAGAAATTTACCATCAATTGTGCAAGACAAAAATGTTAAAAATACTTACTTCCCCAAAAGTTTTGTTAAGGTGTATTTCTCTGTCACTTCTTTTGGTAAATTGAAGTCTGTATTTTGTAAGTCATTATAAAGATAAACTGAAATAAATGAAATTAAAAATCCTTTAGTCTCTTATTCTACATATTTTGCAGATTATTATCTTCATTTTGATTGTTTTTAACATGTTTCAGTCAATACAAGACATTTTTATTCCCTCAAAAATGTAGATGAGGCTTAAATATTTCCTATTGGGGGTTCCTCTGTGGATATAAGTCTTCTTCCATAGATTTTCAGTTTTGTTGTTATTAACACATTTAAATTAATACATTCTTTGATTTCCTTCATGAAACAATGAATTGGGTTTTACTGAAGAAAGGAAAGGTGTGAAGCGATCATCTCATTGATCAGCTGTAGGTGTTGGACATTTGGACAACTGGGAAGGTGACAAAGAAAGGACGACCTTGTTGAAAAGTCATACCCCTGTATAAAATACAAAGTGGAGAGAAATCACTGTTTACTGGATAAGTCTAGAATACAGTAATTAATTTCTCTTTTTTCTAAAGGTTTCTGTGAATTTTCTTCTTGTGATATTTTAACCCTCTGAATGTTAACATCTGACCTCATTTGTTGACCCTTGAAATTTTGGGTAAATTTCATGATTCCATAACTGCTTGTCTAACTGAACAAATCAACAACAAAAACAGCAAATGTCCAATACAAAGATGCTCAGAGGCACAGCCTTATTCTACTTCCATATTAGCCTATGTAAGTCTTGCTGGTAATTTCATGTTGGAGTCTTTTACAGATAAATTGGTCCAATTGGTTGAAATTCCTTCTGCAATCCTGTTAACATTTCTTTTATTTGGTCTCATTAGAACATAAAAAAAATTCTACATTTTATATAAACCTCCTTATTGTGTGTTTTGGTCATTTTTCCTTTATTCTCTACCATTTTTTTTTCTCATTGCTAAATGTTTCTATCAGATTTCTTGTCAAGTTCAATGGCTTTTAAGAAAGATTTTTGTCAGGGTTTAGATTTTTTGTTTTTTTTAACAGATTTCATAATGTCATTCATAACTTTCAACTTCAACTTTCAAAAGTTGAATTAAAGAATCTCTATATAAAATTCTATGACTTCCGTTAGTCCATCTGTCCATTACACCCTCTCAAATAGCTATACATGCAGCATGCTCAAGAGTAAGAAATCCTAAGAATTTTTTCTTCACTAGGAAAAAGGAAAAAAAAAAGAAATTTTCTTAAAAAAAATATTGTTTACCATGAAGTCATAAGATTAAAAAAAATTATTAAACTGCAAAGTAGGTTTTTGTCAAATTATTTTTCCAAACAAATCAGCTAATTCAAATTTTATCAATTGTTTTGCAAAATTGAACAAAACGTAGAGATTGTAAATCTTTACAAAGAATTTTAGCGATAATTTCAATAATACTAAATACTGTGAGGATTTGAACACACTAAATTCTAGTTATAAGAAAAAAAGGATTATTATTCCAACAGTTCGAAGTCTATCAATCTGATGTCCTAATTTCACTCCCCCCTGCTTCCCAACCCTGAAATTTCTTTTCAGATTTCCTCCTGGTTGAGAATCACTAATTTAGACAAAAACTGAGCCCAGATATGAATAAGCCAAGAGATATTTGCGTCAAGATTCAATGACAAATATGGATGCATGTTGCTTCTGTTAAACATTGTACATTTCTTACCTTTGTTATATTTATAAGACAATGCAATTTCATCATTATTACTGAGCACCTGTTTGTTTCCTTTTCCTGAGAGAAAAAAATTAAAAAAATTAAAAATGGTGAAAATTCAAAATTGGGAGGTACGGAGAAAAACAGTTTAAAAAGGTAAATTTTTTGACAGAATTTCTGAGATTAATGGCAATGACATTAACAAATTGATTCATGAGGAACAAGTTTTCTTGCCTTGGTTTTTATCTTTCTTTTCAGTGTATCCATCAGACTTCTTTAGATGTCAGTTACATTTGGTAATCAAATTAATAGAGGAAGAAGAAAAAAAAAATTGTTCCTGTAATGGACCAAATAATGGATTCTAGACAACATTATCAAGGAAAGTTATCAAGTGAAACTGACCAACAAGAAAGAACAATGCCTAAAACAGTTGGAATAAATACAAAAATTCTAACAGAATGGTTGTTAAAAGAAATACATAAATAATACATTTTCTACTTTGCTCTGAGCCTAAAACTTTTAAAGTGTGTTTGTGTGTGTGTGTATATATAAATATATATATATAGTAAAAGGTAATAAATCTGTTGGTATATAATCCTAGTAATTTAAAGTATTAAAACTGATCTGCAAAAAGAGCTCAATGTATTTATTATTACAGAGCAGAAATTAATACACAATAAAATCCCAACACATACTAAGTCTATACTGAGGTTGAATAAGGCCAATGAATTATATTTTCATCAGTTTAAATAAGCTTATTCCCCATAGGAGATGATTTGGGATTTCATTGTGTGTGTGTGCGCATACACACACACATATATATATATATATATATATATATATATATATATACACTGGAAGCTAGTATAAAAATCAAGTGAAAATTATCACCACCTGAAATCATCAAGCTCTCACTAATCAATTACTATTTCTGGCAGAAATGAAGGTTTTCTTAGAAAAAGACTTACCTACTCTCTCTGCAGGAGCTACCATTTTATTTATTTTTTTTTTTTAATTTGACAAAAAGATTTTTTAAGTGCATATAAAAATTTGTTTTTGTTTTCTAATTAAAAAAAAAAATTAATTTGTGAATTTTATTCTGTATCTTATCAAAAAAGATGCTGTTGGGAACTTTTATGCCCCATTTTTTAAAGATCTGAACATTTTTGGGGGGGGTTATAAAGTTTTAGTTAATTTTTTTTTTTTTACAACAACATTCCATATATACAAAGGGTGTGTCAGAAATACCTTCCAAATAATGGCAAGACATTAGCTCGATCAGTGGTTCTAAATTGGGGTCCATATAACATTACTGGAGTCTACACAAAATAGTTATTTTATTTGTGTACACAAATGTTCCAGAAAAATTAGTTGTTAAATACAAATTTATTTTCATTAAATTAGTTTTACTTCAAAATAAAACATTCACTATTTCTATAATAAAATTCCTATACTTATCTATTAGTAAAAAATAACATAAGCTTTTTTTTTTTTTTCCATTGAATGGTTATGGAGATCCAGCAAAGTAATTAAGAGTAAAAGTGGCCGATGGATAACAAAAAGGTTGAGGGTCACTGGGCTCCATAGATGATGACACTATTGACACTAATATCTTACCATTATGTTGGAGGTATTTCTGTCTCATCCTGTATAAACATTGTTTTGTGAAATTATTTTAAAATGATATTTACTAAGCTTAGCTAAGTCTGGTGCAAGATTAGAAGTACACGATTATTTCATTTCCTACAGTTTATCAACCCTTGGCAGGTTATTTAAAGCCACAAAATATTTTTTAGAGTATAACAATTTTTTTGGGGGGGATGATGGTTTAATGATACAAGTCTTACTAATTAACCCATAGCTAGGGAGAAGAGGTAGATCCCTACCTTGCCCAAGGATATTGGCATGTAAGTGAATATAATGAATACAACAGGAATTTGAACTTTGCTCTCCTATTAACAATTCCGAGCTATTAACCATTGTGCCACCTGCACATCCAAGCTTACAGCATTTGGTATTCCCAAGTGGTCACCAATTTGAATACTGAACAGGCTCAATATTGCTTAACTTTGGTGATCCTACGGAAACTGGCATTTCAACATGATGTGGTAGTAAGCCTGCTACAAGTATAGAACACACAGCAGTAAGAATAAGCTTGAGTAACCCAATTCCTCATAGGAAGATTTACAAAGTGAAAACACTTATTAAAAGTAATAAGTATTTAAGCTAAAAATTGTTGCTTTGTAGTGAATATAGTTACTACTAGAAGAACTTCAATCATCATTGGGTGTTCCACACTAGTAGCCTTATACCAAACTAAGATAAGTAACATTATTTACATTATTCGGACTATTGTCCTCATCTTTGTCACTATATTTATTACAACGTTTCGGCTGTTGTACGCTCTGGCCTTCTTCAGGAACGTTGAACTGAACCCTTTATTTCGCTCACTGGGGTAGACTGTTCTAGTTCCACGTGCCATGTTTAATGGATGTCAGTTATCTCCTGTTAATTACCCTCTGAAAATTCTCCACTGCCTTAACTGGGCTGAAACGTAATAAATATGGCGACAAAGATGAGGACAATAGTCCGAATAATGTAAATAATAACTGTAACCTCTCCAAGTTCTCCACTGCCTTAGCCGGGTATTGAACACACACTCTTTGGGTCCTGTCACTGGATCTATCTAACACCTTTATCCACTGTGCCATGTGTCATTGAAATATAGACAGATAATAAGATAAGTAAATAGCATTGCTGCATTGTCCCCTCCCCTCAAAAAAAGGTCACTGAAAAAAAATATATTTTCTGGGTTTTTATCTGTGAAGGTATCTTCTAAGTTAATGACAGAATGCCACAGTCTATCAAATATTGTCCCTAGTCTGACACTATGATACGATAATATTAACATTTCAATAGCCACCATAAAATCCAGCATTAATTGTAGGTTTCTACCAATAACCCATTAATGCCTACCATTCCAATTCCTCGTTATGACAATAAACTACATCTGGCAGCAAGGCCTCCAATTGGGAATTAGGAGGATTTGACGAGCATAGAAACAATTCTTAATTGCTGTTGTTCCCAGGTCAACCCTGACCCGAGGTGGTAGCACCTGTTTGGGTCCCAGCTATGGGCAAATAGTGAACACCCAAGCAAGAACAAACCATTATGAAAGTATAAAAACATATTTTTATATAATAATAAACCAACAATGCCTATTCAAATATTTAGATTTTGACATTGAATAACCCATAAAGGTGTTGATATACTGCTAAACAAGATCAATCAGCCAACCAACCATTCCAATTATGGTGGAAGGAGGACATATTTCTGCCATTAATTTACCACATTGCTACAAAATGATTATCTGTAGTCCAACATGAATGCCAAAATGACCAAAAAGATCAACAACCCTCTCGCTTTACAAGATCCAGATCTTCAATACCAACATCAAGTCGGTCCTACTTTAGGGCTCAGAAACCTGGCAGGTAACAAAGACCAACACCCACAAATGTCAGACATTTACCAACCAATGTCACAGGAACATCCTTAACATCAGGTAAGCGAAAGTCATCCCCAATGACCAACTGTGGGACAGGACCAGACAAGCCCCAATTGAGATTGACATTAAGAAACGGAAATGGGGATGTATCAGCCACACAGCCCGCAAGCCTGCTTCTAGTGTCACCAGACAGGCCATTGACTGGAATCCACAAGGGAAGTCATCTCCAACAATCAACTGTGGAACAGGACAAGACAAGCTCCAATCAAGATTGACATCAAGAAACAGAGATGGGGATGGATCAGCCACACACTCTGCAAGTCTGCTTCTAGTGTCACCAGGCAGACCTTTGACTGGAATCCACAAGGGAAGTGAAAAGTGGGTCTACTAAAACAGACTTGGTGCAGAAGTGTTGATGCAGAGGTGAAAGCAGCTGGCACGACATGGGCCGAGATGAAGAGGATCACCTGAACTGCATCCGTTGGAGAGGTGTTGTTGCAGGCCTGTGTACCCCAAGGAATCAAGACGTAGAGAGAGAGACACAATGATTAACAAGCTAGTTGCACAGACTGCTACTAAAATGAATAACTTTTAATTATGTGTCAAATTGCTTCACATGTAAGGAAACTCTTGCGCTCATCATCATCCTCATCCCTCAACCTCCCTGTGGTTGGTTGGAACTCCATTAACAACCTGTTTCTACACTTTTCAGCCCTGCATTGCTATCCTCAGATCCCCAATATCCAACCCCAAGCTTTGAACCATGGTGTCTGGGAAAGTCAAATTTTGCAAGACGACCCCCTCCAGAAAGATGCCATAGAAGTAAGGATGAAACGACCTCCCCATCCACTTGGTGGCAGTGGCCAGCAAACTGAAATCAATTTTGTCTGAGCTTAAGAGACATTGGTCTCAGTTCTCACTGTTGTATGGGATCTCCAACCGATGTTCTGGATTTTTCTAAGCAGATTTGTATATGTCCCATTCAGTTGTCCTTCAAGATTAAGATAAGGTAAGGCAGCAAAAGAACAAACAAGATATAAAGAAGTAACAACATACCAACTTTCTCGGAATTAATGAACGTGCCATTTGTGCTTTTATCCTCTAAAAAAACATGAGTGCCTGTACTGGTTTCCTCCTAAATGAAAGAAAGAAAAAAATCCCGAGATTAATTTTTCCCCATCACAGCTTCAGAAATAAAAGTGAAAGATGGTGCAATTTGTTAGTAGGCAAAAAATAGAAATTTAGAATCTGTATAGAAATTTCTATTTCAGTGCTTCTTTTTGGTAATCATGACTCTTCATAGTTTCCCCACTTTTCTTTAGAATCTTTAAATAGTCTTGTTAGGATTGATTGTGGAATGATTTCCCATTGTTTTCTCTACAATTTTGAATTCAGAGTAATCTTTCTTCTAGATTAGCTGACAGTCAAGGCTAGAGAGTCAAGTTTGCCCTGATATTTAACCCGTTGCCTGGGGATTTCCATATTAGTTATGATTTTCTAAAATAATTTATAACCTGACAAACAGGCATATATATATATATATATATATATATATATATCTGTGTGTGTATGTATTTTGGTAGCATGTTTTCATTGAATAATTTATACAAGTTTTGTCTGCTTATTTTCAATAGGATTTATTCATATTCTCGGATGAGATTTTTTTGTTGTTGTATTAAAAGGAGAAAAATTACTGAGTTGATACATATTGTTTTATTCTGGGTAAAATACTCTGAATAAAACAATATGTATCTACACAGTAATTTTCTCTCTTCTTTTAATACCAACACTAAAGAGCTCATCCAAGAATATGAATAGATCCTATTAAAAATAAGCAGAAAAAAAATTTGTATAAACTATTCAATAAAACTTGCCTCAGTCTATCTACATATATGTTCCCCATTGCCTTCTCTATGGCTTGGAATTCAGAATGTTTTTTTTTTTCTTAGACTGGTTACTACCCAAGTCTAGAAGACCCAGTCTACTCTGTTACTTAACCGACAGCTGGAAAAAGAGAAGAGATAGATTCATGCTGTAGGGATACAAAAACTGATTATCTCCCTTTGCTTGAGAAAGTCACAAGTGTCACGTAATGGTTCGTGAGTAATGGCAGGGGATAATGACAAAGATCAGTTGCGACGTAAAGCCCAGAGAAGAAAGATGTCTGAGCCCACAGTAGTCACAGGGAAAACCAGATGGCCTCACCAGATTCATAGAGAAACTACTGTACCTATAGTTTTCCCTGTGGGAAATATTACTAGTAAGACTATTTTCACACTGTTTGATATAGTTTCTCTGTGTAGGACAAATGTAATTGTGTATAGAATTTTATGTATGACTTAGCAGCATAAAATTCTCTCTTAGAACAAATCATTTTTCATTACTTTTCATTTAGCTATTCCATTCTGTGTATAACATAATGTGCTATTATATCATGAATATAATAATGCCCATAATGGGGGAAATTCAACTGGGATTTCTTCATATAGCACACCAATTAATGTCTTTCCACAAGAGCATTTGTATGAATGTGAATACAATAGGCAAATTAGCCCAGAGTTTGAACATATTAGTTCAAGAAAATAAAGAGAAAGAAAGATATATTCTTAATAATATAAAAATACATAACAGACCCGATATATCCGAAAATGAACTTTGCTGTATGCCTGAAAGTGCTTGCTTTTTTCTTCAAATTGGACATCACAATTGGCACCTCTTCCAAACGTGTACACATCTTTGTTGAGGTCTGTAATAAGGTAAAGAAGGAAATATAGACACAACAAAAGAATTTTTTATTGGCCTGACAGACTGAAAACATCAAATATTTTGCAAGAATTTATTTAAAAAAATCTTTTCTCATCAGAATTTTCTGAATAGCCATGAAGAGTTATTTTTCTTTGAATTACTCAGATCAACAAATTTGTTTTATTCTGGATTTGCACAATTGTGCGAATCAATTTCAGATCTGTTACCTAAACGAGAGTGGGATGCAAGGTGAAGAGGGAGTAGCTAAAGGTGGGAGGGGATGTAGATAAAAACTCCAAGACAAAGAAAATTTTTTTTTTTTAAACTGTTCTTAAGGTAAGAGATACAAAATATCTGACAACGACTATGAAGTGAATCAGCTGAAACATTGCCAGCGAGACAGTAAACGTTTTGGGCTTCCACTGGTATATCACATCAGGTCCATACCAATTTGATAATTTTGGTTTGAATTGGGGAGATGAGCAGTTATCATTATTTATGTTTACACTCACACTATCATCCAACAACAAAAATGACAACTCTTCATTCCAAAAATTTAGACAAAGCTGAGAATGCTGTTCTGAATCGTTCATTGAATAACGAACATGGATCAGTGTAATGTTATTGTTGCAAAAACTAAGAACCATAGACTAAATCTCTCATAAAATAAAATTGTTTCACTTGTGAACTTCATCAGTAATTGTCTTATAATTACTTTACCTTTGATTGCATCGTCTTATCTTTTACTATTTTGCCTACTTATTATTACTGAGAACTTTATATTTAACTAGCAGTAGAGCCCGGCATTGCCCGGGGATGTAACAGTAAGAGATAGATCAAGTATCGACCATCATAAAGACTAAAAAATAAAATTGACAAAGGTTATTGTTTAAGGTTGATGGACACGCATGTCTTAATTATTTTTTTTTTTGTTTTGTTAAGAATTAGTCAAACCCAAACAAAAACATTGTTTTCAATCGTTATGAGTCTACTGATTGAATAGAATTTTATTATAAACAATTGTCTTGTAAATGGAATTTTTAGAGAATTTTGAATGTAAAAATAAAGAAAAAAGTGTGCAAGACAATAAGAAACACTACCTGCCAAAAAAAAAAAAAAAAAAAAAAAAAAGTGAAGTTTTGTTGAAATCGGTTGAAAAATGTAGGAAATCTGATCCCATATATAAATGAACACACACACAAACAACCTGGGTTTTATAATAAGTATAACTTGATATGAGTTGTCCCCCCTTTCATTCTCACGACAGCGATGCCTCTTAATCGTGTTTACAAATTGATTTCGTGCAAAAATAATTGTTTTTTTCCAATTTTTGGCACTGTCAGAACCACCGCAAGGTAATTTTATGTAGTTCTGTGAAGTTTTGTTGAAATCGGTTGAAAAATGTAGGAAATCCGATCCAATATATAAACGAACAGACACATACACAACCTGGGTTTTATAATAAGTATGATGACGCCTGCTTTTTCTACACCTGCCCTCCCTCCTGCCATGAGACTTTTATTTTTTTCTGTTCTTCATTTCTTGTTTTAGTCAATGTATTCTGGAGGAAAAAATGCAGCAATTTAATAATAAAATGGTGTAAAATAAGATGAGGGTATATAGAGGTTTAAAACACTTAACCGAGTGTTCTCTTAAGAATTACAGGATAACAGACAGAGAAGGGAAAGAGGCAGGAAGAAATTTAAAAAAAAAAATCTGTAATGACTAGTGCGGCCACTACCTCAGAAACCACAGTCTGGCAGGTGACACACAACTTCCGAAACAAAATCCACCAAGGGAACATGACAACGAGTCTCTCCAACTGTCCACTGCTGGTTTTCACCCATTGCTTTTATTGCCATGATAAAGACCCAGATCTGGACAAGTTGCAGAGAGGCTTGTATCTGAACATGACAAGCTGTTCTGTTGCTAAATGTAAAACCTGCATGTGACTAGCTTCAACAGAAATGTCCACATGTAACTTGGGGCTTTTGCACATTCACCACATGAAATTGAAGCACACATTTAAAGAAAAAAAACTAAAAACTGATACAGATTTCAGAGTGCAGACCATAGAGTTCACTAAACAAATTTAATGGTTTTATTAATATTATGAATGTATGCAAAAAGATAACAAAAAAGGGTAATAGAATAACCATAATATTTTAGTCCTCAAAATTAAATTATATTAAAAAAAAATATAAGATGTGCAAATGGAAAACTAAACTCTAAAACTGTACTGTAAATATTACTTGAAATGGGAAACTACTCCACTATCTTTCCAAAGATGTCATGGTAATTCACAGATAAGAAAAAGAATTTGTAGACTCAGACATCCTGAAGGAACACATCATTAAAAAAGGTAAATTATAGATTATCACTAATTGACTTACATATAGTCCAGTTTATTTTCAAATTTGCCCAAGATTCACAAGTAAGATTCAGCATTTTTGAGCCCCTGGGTTTTCAGAAGAGTTTCCAATTTGCTTCTTGGAGTTTAGTTTGGAAATTCAGTCATATGTAATGAAGTCATTGATTTCTTGGCTGGTTGTTATTTTATTAAAAGATGAAGAAAAAGTAGGCCGCAAAACTAATTCATTGCAGAATTGAACTAATTTAAAACTATTACTATGAAGTAAGGAACAAAGAAATATGGAAGTCAATTTGTGGCAATATAACTACAGATTTAAAAGACAAACAGAATGAAAATTCTAATCTTATCAGAGAAGCTATGTCTTTTTCTCCTGCTGCTTCAAACATTCACTGGGTTTTTGACCTCGAACAGTACAACAGCAATGAATTGCTTAAAAGACACACTAAAAAATAAAAATCTATTCAATAAAAAAAAAAAAAAAAAAAAATACAGAAATAAGTGTAAAAATTTCAATACATTTACATTCTGGTCAGGTCAGTAATTCAATTTTGGGAGGACACTTTAGATAAAAAGTGTGGTTGTCAATTTTCCAAACAAATTACTAAATGAAATGTTTTTTGGTTTCTTTATCAGTCAAGTAATATTTAACAATCTTGATGTTGCAACAAGAGATCCACGGTGCTAAATCAGCAAATGTTGTGTTACCATAACAATGAAATTAACAAGTGGAAAAAAAAAAAAAATCCACAACTATTTATTAAGTGATACAAAAATGCCATAAAAAAAAAGAATATCTACAATAAATTTCTTTTCTAATAAAAAAAAAAGAAAAAAAAAGTCTTCGTTAGAAAGACGACTGATCTTCTCTACTCTAATTGTTGAACATAGAATCATCCATTTGTTCTGAGTAGAATGCTTGCTCATAGGAATGACCATCGCAAAGTGGGTTGAAAGGCATAGTATTGAGTTGTACACATTGCTGTGCTGAACTACAGTATTCACTATTATTGTATTATTAATCCATGTCCTTCATGTGATTAAATCATTTCTTTGCTAATCTTTTGCTCTAGTGATTTCTTTACAATATTATTAACCAGAAACTACGAGCATTTTAACAATATATTTGTTTGCTTGTTTTATGTTATATCAATATCAAAGCAAGTAGGGTTGGAGTTTAACATTTGTGGATTATTATTTCATAGTGAAGTTAAGTTTATTTTTAACATTATAGTCGTGTCAAAAGTAGTAGTTAATTTTTGTATTTATAAACTGTACTTACGTTAGTTTTTTTTTTTTCCAGATTTTGGTTATAACAATATTATATATAGGTGCTAATATAGCATGAGGTCTACCTCCCATTTCATGTGTTTAGAAAATGTGAAAGATATAAATATCCATATTAAACTTCATCTGACCTGATCCATGTTAGACCGCACGCTATAGTAGCACACACACGCACACACAATACTGCCGATTTGTATGTGCACACTTATGTAGGATGTCACACATGAAATGATGCACTTTATAGTAAACTAAATTATTTAGTTGAAATAGTCACCATGCTGATGAATGACTGTTCTCCAACATACTTGATCCCATCTCATTAGATGTAATAAACAGTTCAAATGCTTCCATTACCTCTTTCTTATTGGAAAAGGTTTTATTGCACATGAAAAGCTCAAAAAGAAGTGATAATCAGTAGGCAATATATCAGGTGAATATGGAGTATGAGGCAAAATTTCATAATTCAGGCTATCCAGGTTTTGGGCAGTTGATTGAGAAGTGTGCAACCATGCGTTATGCAGCAAAATTGGGCCATCTCTATTCACAAGTCTAGGATGTTTCTTTTTCAATTTTTTTTTTTTGCACTCAATTTCTCCACGATATGAGGTTGCTGCTATTGTTTTCCCTTGAGCTAAGAATAAATAATGAATAACCCCTTTGAAAGACCACCATACGATAGCCATTATCTTTTTAGAGTGCACTGGAGGTTTTGGGTATTGTTTTGGTGATTCATTTGCATCTAACCACTGGCCTACTCTCTTACTGTTGTCAAAGAGTATCCATTTCTCATCATATGTAATTCAATACAAAAAACCTTTTTCCCCCAGTTTGTACTAATATAGTAAGATTACTAAACACTGTTTCATTGTAATTACTTTCATTGGGTTTATGAGTAACAATATATAGAAAAAAAAATACCTGGAGAGAGAGAAAAAAAAAAAAAAGAGAGAGAGAGTCAGAAAAAGTCAAGTTTTTGGGGGTTTTTTTTTTATATATACTAAAGGAGTTACTTCATTAGATGATCAGATCAACAATCAACCAAAAAAAAATGCGTCATTTCATGTCTGACAATAGATTTAATTGTTTTTTTGTTTTGTTTTGTTTTTAAATGTCATACACCTTCCTGACTCGGGCAATCTCTTTTTTCTTTATTATTTACAAATTACCATAGTACCTTTGGAAAAAATGGAAGAGTGGTTTTATGTTGCCTTCTTCACAATTTTGGTTTTAGGGTAATTATCCTTTGATTGCCATTCTAGGGTAGAGATCCCAATCTACCCATAGAAGATAGATTCACCCCTTTCCCAATGAAATTAGTGTGAAATTGGAATACAATAGAGATTAGGCCAGAATCAGTTTTTTCGATTTTTCACCTTCAATGTTGTAATTTTTTCCAGCCAATTTGGACTCAAAACCGGCACTGAAGAATTAAAAAAAAAAATTCATCGAAATCGGATGAAAACTGTGGAAGCGCATAAACAACATCCAATTACAAACACACACACATTTTGAGAATTATAGATATTATTTTGCATATGTGCGTGCTTACTAATTCAATTACAAAAGAAAAAGTGACCTCTATTCTTGCTTGATCCTGTAAGTGAAGTGTAAAAAAAAATCTTTTGTTGCCTTGCTTTGGGTTCAACAGTCTTCCTTACCTTATTGAAAGCATTGATTCTCAGTTGATCCCTCAATGGGTCACAAGCTTTGAAATTTTTTTCGCTTTAAAAAAAAATGTACATCCTTCTTAAATTTTATAAAGAAATCAAATAATGTTTCTTAGAAAAGAAAAATGAAAGCTCATCATTTTTCAGCACCACCTCATCTTTTCAAAGATTTGAAAAAAAAAGAAAAGAGGTGATCTAAGTTGGATGAGAGCTGTTTTCTCTAAATATGTAATTACGCATGGTTACACACAAAAATAAAAAAAACTAGCAGCTCCCTATTTGACGAAGACTTGATCGCAAAATATATTCAAACTGACAGTTCAAGCGAAGAAAACTTCTTGGCCAATAATGATGGCAATCTGACCGTTTACCTTTTTGATTTTGATATTGTTGAATTGAATGACACTCTCTAGTGTCTAAGTCGTCTTATCTTCAAATTAATAAGGTCCAAACAAGCTCAGTCTTACTATTTTTACGGTTAAATTTTGAAATTGAAGAGAAGTAGTCAGCCAGTACTACACTATTTTCTTTTTAGTTTTAAAAATTCTTTTTTTTTTTTTTTGGCTGAACCTAGTCTGGCACAAGGTCACAAATATAGAGCACCCAGCAAAAAAAAATCAAAATAGCTAAAAAAAAATTGGATTTCGTTTAATTCTGCAGCATTGGAAAGCAATGGCATTTAAAACAAAAAACAAAAAATCAATGTGTAACTTTTATTTTTTAATAATTATTAAAGGAAAAAAAAAGAAGAAAGAAGACATTTTCCAATTCACGGCGAAATTAGATGCCATAATTTAAATGCCACGGTTTGCAATTAGGAAAAGAAAGAATTTAAAAAAAAGTTACGTCAAAATTATTTGGGTTTGTTTTGTTTTTCTTTTTAGTGTCACAAACTATTTTTGTCTTCATTTCATTTAAAAAGTCATGCTCCTGAAACAAGAGTGAATTAATAAACATCCGTATATTTTTTTTTTTTATTTACGGTAAAGTTTTACTTACTACTAGTCACAGTGTAAAAACTGTAGTTGAAATTATAAATTATATTGCATTTCCAGCAATAATGTATTTCAACGATTTTATTTTTATGTATCGCTTGGCCAAAGGATGACTCAGAATATGAGGCTAATCAATAAAAGAAATTTTAAGCATAGGAAGGTAAGGACAAGCTAAGCATGATGAATGAAACTGTTAGTAAATCAGTATTTCTTATGCAGAAATCGTTTAGGACACTAAATTTAAGAAGACTAAAAAATAGTAATATCCAAATATTTTTTTACATAAAATTAAAATTTTATTTAATATCAGTGGGAAAAAAAAGTAAAAAAAGACAATTCGGAAGAAGAAAATTGTCAACTAATACAAATTTTTACTTGTCAATTTGAATCTCCCAGGAATGTTAAAAAATCGTTCAGTACAAGTGCGTGTTGTAGACACATGAGAAAGTTTTTTGTTTTTTTTTTCAGTTTAAAACACCACATGAGTTACTTCTTTTTTTATTTATGTTTTCTCTGACACACGTGATTACAACAACAACAAAAAAATCAAGTTCGCGGTCAGAAAATTAAATAAAAGTTCCATGAAGCCGTTGTTGTCAGTACCCGGAACAAGACAAAAAGCGTGTTACTGTTATCTATCAACTGACATCTTTAGTACCCCGGGTGGATAAGATCCACGGCAATGTCCGCCACAAACAAACCAAAAAAAAACATACGGGTATATATCCTCCACACTCTTCTTGAATAGCAAACAGAATCGAATTTGTCAGGGTCCAATTAACGGTGTACGCTTTCATTTTATTAATTAATGTCATTGTTACTCAATTGATCTATTCAACAAGTGTAAAGTTGAGGTTTCGATCGTTTTCTTTATAAAATAAAATAATTGTCCGAGTAAGTAATCTATCGAATTTGTTTTTCTCTTTTTTTATAAAAAAATAAGAGAGGGATAAAAAAAAATTCACTCAAAAAAATAAAATAAATAAATAAATAAATAGAAAATTCGATTTGCTATATTTACGTACATCAGCTTTAATACGAAAACCTAAAACATGATTATTTTAATTAATAATAAATCAATAATTAAAACAAAAAATTCATCATCGGAACTTCAAACTCACCAAGTGCGTTAAAAGAAGATCCCAAGGAGAATAACCTAGCCCAAAAAGATTCAGTGACCATTTCTTCGTCACTTATAGTATTGTCTGTCACATCTTGGGTTGCAAAGGTCTCCATATTTATAATAATTTACAATAATTTCTGGTTCAGCCGGCTGTGAAATATTCGGAAAGTTTCTTAATTTTTATTACCGGCAACAAGAACTCGAATATGACGCATGCGCACTTGCTCACTGCTAGTGATTTTCTTAAATTCTGAATAATTCAAGCAAAACTTAATTTAAAATTAAAAAAAAAGTTCTTTATTGTATTTTTCTTACTAAAAATAATTTAAATTATATATGTATTTATATATTTATCAGTATATATTTAATTTTAGCTAAACTTACGTAAAAAACAACTTTTATAGCATTTAAAAAGTATATCTTAAAAATTTGTCAGTAAAACATGAAGAGTGATCTCCCATTTTATTATTTGTAAAACGGCTTTCTAAAATTTTTCCTCATATACCATCAATGTATAAGACAAAATTTACAAGTGTAAAAGTATTGGCTGTTTTAGAGATAGGAAGACTGTATTGCGTCATTCTCTGAAATGATTGCGGTTTGCTTGCCTGCTTTAAAAAGATGCATACAAAATTCTGATGAGAGATCCTGGATCTTGACTACAGTGGGTATTTTTATTATTCAATTTCAAAAAAATTATCAATCGTCCATTATTAAATTTAAAATCGCTGTTTCCATGCAAATTGTGCAGAGGAACTAAATTGTTTAATTCTACCCTTCATAGCTAAGTGTCACCATGCCACACACATGGTAGCGAACACTCCACATTCTCTTTGTATTTCATGTATTGTGACACTTACATTTTTTTACACAAACTGAATATTGACCGCTTGACAACCCAAAGCAGACTGTGTAAATACATTTTCTGTGCATAGGCTCCATGCATACATCCTCTTTAATCAAAATAAAACAAACAATTTATTCACCATTCAGAGCTACTTTCACTCCCAAAACCAAAACTTTAATTTGGATCCAAACAACGGCTATATTCTCTAATTAAAACAAACTCAACAGTCAACACTGACCAATTTGGATGTCAACACTGGCAAGCTGAGAGATGTGACACAAATCAACCTTCATGCCAACACCAACCGCATTGAGAGAGAAATAACAACAACAGCTATCAGTAATGTCTAATTTCACCATTCTCTCTACGTGTTGCCTTAGCAACAACAACAGATAAAAGTTACTAGTTTTGTACATTATACATTTATTTACCCATACTCAATGTTGTATTCTTTTTACCTGAATTTATGTTTGCCAAGGTGGAGAAGGAATTAAACTCCACCACAGTAACAGCAACAAAATTCTGTCTTCCAAGTTACCTATTTCAACCGTCGCAACAACTAGTAACCCCAATGTTTCGAGTGATAGCAGCTTCATCTGGAAATACACGGAAACTCCACTAAGTACACCAACACAATGAGTTCACACAAAGACACATTAGAAGCACCTTTAGAGATAAATTCTTCAGTTCTTCAATTACCACCATACAATGCCATCAAAACAAAGAATTGGTTCCTCCACCTCCAGGCCATTTTCGCTGCCAGAGGGATATGTTCAAAAAAAGATAAAATTTGCCAGTGTTGTCTAAGCCCTGCCTCCTGATATAGTCAATGAAGTCGCCAACCTATTGGAAGACATTCCTGACACTGACCCTTGCAATGTTCTTAAAGCTGCCATCATTAAAAGGACAAGTTGCTTGGATAAACAAATATTGAGGGAACTATTCAATAACATAAATGTCGGTATCAGGTGCATGAAAAGTCACCTCAGAGGGAACAATATATTGGAGTTGATCCTATGTCACCTATGGTTGGTTAAATTGCCAACTGCGATAGAACAGGTCCTGATCACCATGACAGATGATACACCACTTGACAAAATTTTTGTGTTGTTCAACCAAAGACTGAACACACTACCTCCCAAACAGGATAACAATTACAGTGCTAAACATATGCACATTGATAAAGCACTTGCAGATTTACAAAAGCAAATGCAACAAATCCAATTGTTGTTAAGTCAACAACAACAGAGGTATAGAAATACCTCACATAGACATGATCATACTCCATGCTGACAAAGTTATAGCCATGGAAAAACAAATACACACCCCAGTGGTATTTGCTGGTATCACCACACATTCAGTAACAACACAAGGAAATTTATCCAACCTTGTCTACATAATACCAACAAACACCAGGGAAACAAGTAAACCAGTGAGTGGTTGTGACTACCCCAACTGGTACACACAAAGAAAGTCACTTATTTTATATAGTTGACAAAAATATTTCTAGTGGATACTAGAACAGCAGTTAGCGTCATTCAACTAGCATGTTGACCAAAACCAAATCCTAGTCCCCTCAAATTACTAGCTGCAAACAGTACACATATCCATATGTACGGCATAAAAGATTTGACACTAAATATTGGTATGTGCCAAGATTTTATGTGGACATTTATACAAGCCAACGTGCAAACACCCATTCTTGGGGCAGATTTTTTGGCCCATTTCAACTTATCAGTGAATTTGAAACACAGAATACTGTTGGACACAGAAATTAATATCCATATTACAGGAAATCGTACATGATAGACATCTTCCAACATCAGTGCAACAACTTGCCATAGTACAGAATTCCATAATATTTTGAAGAAATATAAGGATATTATGACACCTTTTAAAAATATTGACAACATCAAGCATGACACAAAACACTGGATAAAAACTACTGGATAGCCAGTATTTTTACACTCATCATGACTACATCTACACAAATACGAATTTGCCAAAAACAAATTTAACAAAATGCTGGAAGGGATAATCCACCCATCTGAAATCTCTTATCCATCACTCGTACAACTCCTTCCAACATTAGACAATAAGAGATTTTGACCTTGTGGACTTCCATAAATTTAAATGCATCCACTATCCCTGACCATTATCCTGTTCTGCATATACACAATTTCACACATGGGTTATGCAGATCACATATATTCTCAAAGAGTGATCTAGCTGTAATGATAAAAAGTACACAGGTGTAGACTTTAAGAAAGCTTTATTCAACTGAGAATGCACGGTTTGCGTAAAGTGTCATTTTATAGTCCCAGTATATAGAAATAGCCTTCTCAAAGAGGAGAGTAACAAAACAAGGGGAGACCACTCTTGATTATTCACAAGTCTAGCTAAAGCTTACTTCCAGATCCCTGTAGTGGAAGAGGATATTCCCAAAACATCAGTGACAACTCTGTTCGGGCTATACGAGTTTGTCCTGATGCCATTTGCTCTTAGGAATGCTGTCCAATCATTCCAAAGACTAATTGACCAAAATTCTTGAGAGGATTGCCATTTGTATATGCTTATATCAATGATATCCTTATTGCAAGCAAAAATAGTGACGAACACCAAAGGCCACTTGCATCAAGTTTCTCAGAAACTATCTCAATTTAGACTAAAAATAAATTTAGATAAGTGTACTTTTGGCACAATTCAGGTTAAATTTCTTGGATACATGATAGACCAAAATGGGATTTCACTCTTACCTGGAAAAGTGTAAGCAGCTGAAAATTTTCATGTACCTACTTCCATCTGGCAGTTAAGAAGCTTCATTAGACTTATAAATTATTATTGTTGTTTCATTCCTAATCTATTATCTATACTTTTACCTTTGACCAATCTATTACAGAAAACAAAAAGACAAAAACATCACTCTACAACAGGATGCCCTCCATGTTTTCAATACAGCTAAATCTGCCCTTGCAAACTTCACTCAACTCTCACACATCAGCAATAGTGAAAATGCACACATCAATAGATAGCTGTAATTGAACAGGAAATCAATTCAGTAAGAAAATCTATTTCCTTTTTCTTAACGAAATTAACCGAGAACCAAACAAAATACAGCACCTTTTCCCAAGAATTGTTGGCTGTATATTTAGCAATTAAACAATTTAGACACATATTCGAAGGTAGACACTTTGTGATATACACAAATCACAAACTTCTCACTCATGCCATGAACTTCAGTGCAGACAAATACACCCCCAGAGAAATTAGAAATTTAGATTTTATCTCTCAGTACACAAGAGACATTCGTTATATTAAAGGATAACAAAATATTATTTCTGATGCATTGTCACACACAGAAATAACAGCGATTACCGATGAAATATTAAGTCATGATTTAATTTCTGAAGAACAGAAATCTAACTTCACACTAACTAAATATCATCATACACCCGTTTAAGACTGAAACAATTCCCAGTTTCTTTCAGCAATAAAACATTTTATTGTGACACTGAATTAACCAACCCTGATCCATACATTCCCCTCACATTAAGGAAACAAATATTCCAATACTTCCATAATTTTTCACCTCCAAGCAACCGACCCACAGTAAAAATCATAAGTGAACAATTTATTTGACCAAACATAGCATTAGACATTAGAGATTGGACATCAATGTACCGAGAATGCTAGAAGAATAAAATACATTATAGCAAAACACCAATAGGTACCTTCAGCAATCCAGATGCAAGATTCAAACACATACACATAGACATCATTGGTCCCCTACCAAGCAACCAAGGTTATCCATATATCTTAACTATTGTTGACAGATTTTCCCATTGGCCTTCTGCGATTGTACTTAGACACATCAACAACTTCATTCACAAATGCTATTTTAAAAGTTTGGATTTCTATTTTCAGAGTACCCAGTGTTATCACCACTGATCATGGCACGCAATTTCAATCATCCCTTTTTCAAAAATTCAGCAATTTGCTGGGAGCAAAGTATATTAAAACTACCACATATGCACTAATGGATTAGTGGAAAGATTCAACAGGCAACTCAAGACATCATTAGCCATGAAGGAAAACTTGACCAATTGGATTGATAACTTATCCGTTATACTTCTCTCTATAAGGAACATTATTAAAGAAGACCATGGCTGCACACCAGCTGAAATAATCTTTGGTACACCCCTGTCACTATCA